TTTTTTTTTAATATAAAATTCAGGAAAAATATACTTCAGGGAGGGGTTTGATAAGTTCACTCAAGTGTAAAGTGTTCTAAAAACATCAAGCTTCATTTGATGTAGAAGGTATAAGAATGTGAACAGTATTTTTGTATGTCTCATTACAAGTACGTGTTATATTGCATTCATTTGAATGTATCATTTTAATATCAAATTTTTTGTTTATCATTGCCTATTGCATTAGCATTTTTCGTATTAGTACAGTTTTCATGTTGTACTACAGATCTAGGAATATCTCCTTTTTCACTGTTAAATGCATAACGTCAACTCCAAATGCTTGAAAAGTATATTTTCATAAACTTCTGCAGGAGGCAATGTATCCATTGCTAATTGTAATAATGATATTTGTACATATTCTTTAGTATCACTTATGCAAACAACCACCAGCAAGTTCACCACAATTTACAGCATCTCCATATTGTTACTGAGGAAGAACTCAAATTTGTATATGCTGAATTCCTTTTATTACATTTATCAAAGAATGAATTTACAGTTTAACCTTTCAGTTATCTGTACAGATTTGTTTCTCACACTCTTCCTGTCTTCATGCAGTTTGGACAGAATATCTTATATATAATATGTATATCTAACTACATGAAACTGAAATTAACGGCTGTGGGGATTCATTGTGCTGACCACGCGGAACCCTCTATCCACTAAAGTTGGTACTAACTTCACTGACAAGTGGTGGTCGCTCAGTCAGTATAGTTTGCTTGTGGACTCCAGCCACGTAGTTTGTTTATCCATCTACATGACCACACTCAAAGTACAGGAGAATCTATGCGATTTCTAGCTCTCAGGGGTTTCATCTAATAATCTTATTAAAAGAACAAGGAATTTTATGCTTCCTCTTTTGCTTGTGTATGTTTCATAACTGACAACAATATATGAAATATTGCAAGTCATATTTACTATTTTGGCATTAATGGGGGAAACATTCAAAACTTCTTCTGTGCACAACCATAGGGTTAAAGATTGTGCTGAACATAAATTCGTGAATCAGTAGATTAACACACATAATTGATTCAGCACCACAGGTGAATGTGTACAACAACCTGGGCCAGGAATGCGTCAGTGCTGGTTGCAGTGTGGATCTATTTGTATTCAACAATTCTTACTTTGACTTGGCTACCATTGGACAAGTGTCAAGATTATCTGGCGGAGAAATTTACAAGTACACATACTTCCAGGTACATGAACAGCTAATTATAAATCTTAGAGTAAATTTTCAAAATTATGTAAGCAAATTAAATTAAACTCTTATTCATTTATGAATATTTTTCTTTACACATACTTGAATTAAATGAATATAAAACTCATTTGCGTAAATGGTTTCTTAAAATCACAGAGTATTTACACTGATGCATATATCATCAGTTAGAAAAATGGTGTTTACTTATGTGCAAAATATTCTGACAGGCTGATCTGGATGGTGAACGACTAATAACAGATATTAAGCATGATGTGATTCGCCCAGTTGCATTTGATGCTGTCATGAGAGTACGAACATCAACAGGTGTTAGAGCAACTGATTTCTATGGTCACTTCTTCATGTCCAACACAAAAGACATGGAACTTGCCAGTATTGATTGTGACAAGGTGAGGAAATGCTTGAAGTTCAGTAACAATGAATGTCTACTTTAATATAAAAGGCATTTGTGCAAACTTTGTGGGTGGGTTATCAAGCAATGAGTTTTCACATGTTACCATCTAGCAGTTAGTTAGGCAACATTGCTGGAATGTGGTGTATCATATGTTCTTACAGAAGACTGTAGTCATTTTTCAGAAAGTGTATCTACAGTAAAACTTGGATATAGCAACATCGGTTTCTGCGACACCTT